GAATTGCTAAGAGATGGGTGAATTGTATGGGCTCTAAGGAGAGAACAATGAAATGTCAATGAAATGTATCAAACACCCTTTGTTGCTATGAAAGGGTATTAACAAAAGTTGTTAGCAAGGCCCAGAAACTGGACAGAGAAGAAATATAGTTTAACAGGGGTCAGCTGATTATTGACTGCAAAGGAGCTCAGCAAAGTCCCCAATATTCTCTGTTCAGAAACTTTGGAAGCCAACTCAGGAACTGGTTCAAAATCTGGTATGGCTGTGGCCAAAGCTGCACAGGGAGCAGGTAGTGAACACCCTAAGGAGTAGCCTGTCCTGTGAGCTATTAAACTTTGATCACTTCCATGATAACAGAATGCACACCTTACCCTAACCAACCATCTGGCACAAACCAGCCCAGCTTCCTAGTAAACTTGGCAAGCTTGAGTTTTCAGGAGTGGAAAGGCAATCTATTACCTACCTCTCCTAGAAAAAATGTCTCAAAGCGCTTGACCTACTGATGTCAGCATCACCTTTACATGCCAGGAACAAATTATTACAGAGAACAGACCTAGAACACCCAGCTGGAAGTTAATAAATCAGGGGGAAGACTCCTGGTACCGCACCGCACATTCCTCCAGGGCAGGGACCGTGTCTGGTCTCCTCGGGCGGGAGTGGAGTGCTCTGCTCCGCAGTGGGCCTGCTGTTGATAAGACTGTCTAGTCAGTTGAGGATACAACTCAGGGCCAAAGCCCTGGCCTCTTCTGGGGTGTGGGTGGGGACGGCGGCAGCAGGAGGTCAGCACAGAAGTCCTGCCGCTCCTGCTACTGACCATTCCCTCTCTAGGGTGGAAGCAGACAGGAGCGGTGAGGGTGCGAATGGAACGTGTCCTGGGTTAGGAGGTGCCTCACTTCCAAGGCCACCTCGGGGAGTCTGAGGTTCCAGGCGCCAGGCAATAAAGACAAGTAGCCCACACACCTCAGGCCGGGGCCGCGGTTGGAGGTGGGGGATCCGCGGGAGGTCCTCCCGCGGACGAGCTTCTGGGTAGGGAAGTGGGCCGGGAACAGCGCATTTCCTGCTTCGCCGATGTAACCCCAGGCGTGGCCAAGCGGGAACTGGGATACGGTCGAGGAGTCTCCTGCTGCCAGGGAGGGGTTGGGGGCTGCGGCTCAGAGGGACTCCGGGGAGGGCTGAGGGGAAGGAGTGGGAGAGGCTGTCAAATCAGAAAGTAGGCTCCCAAACCCGTGGGGGAAAGAATGTCCCCAAGGTCCCGCTCCCGGTCACCCTTTTCCAGGCCCACTCAGGAAAGGCGACACAGCCAAGGACAGGGCCGGGGCTGGGTGGCGCGCCAGGTGCTGCATCTGCGGGGTTAGGCACTGGCGGGGGCTCCCGCCCGGGGGGCGCGTAGCGGCCACCGCAGCGTCGTAGCGGGTGGCGGGTATCTCCAGGCCACTCCTTCCTCCCCACCTTTCTCCTCCGAACTGCGACCTTCGACCTGCATCCCGGACGCACGGGGGACTGGCCGGGGAACAGGGAGGAGACGCGAAAGGTATCCAGGGGCGCGGCGCCGCCGCCCAGACGGCGCCGGGCACGCGAGGTGCGAATCGGCGGCGTCCGGCTGCGCGGCCCTACCTGGGAGGTGCGGAGCCCGCGGCCGCGCTCCGCCTGCTCAGGCCACCTAGTGCTTGGCTCCCCAGGCGGCCGCCCGCGTACAATTTATAAATGCAAAGGCCTTATTGTTGTTCTTTGTTCCAGGGATACCATTGTCTATTCCTCGGCGGGCGGCCCGGGATTTTTCCCAGGGCTCGCGGCGCGCACTCCCTTCCCCGCCCCCACGGCCTTGCTTTCCAGAGTCAACCCGGATCTGCCTGGGTGCCCCGGGATCCTTCCCGTTCGACTTGAGTTTCCCTGGTCCCGGCTCCCGCTTTCCCGGCATTGAAAACACAAAACCTTTCCGGTAATCACCCAGCCTTCGTCTGGTCACTCAGGGGCCCGTAGATAAGCGAGGCTCTGACTCCTTTAGGTCCGAACAACAGTTCGCCACCTACCCGGGTTTATTTCTGCGCCCGCTGACCAAAGGCCCCAAGTTGACAACGGACACAGCTTCTCGCTACTCTAGTCGCTTCCTTGCTCGGCGACCTCGAGTCTGGCTCGGGGAAGTGATTGCAGTTAGTCTGCGGGAACCCCAGAGCCCGGGCTGTGCGGTGCGAACGCACCAGCCAGCTACACGGGCGAGTGTACACGGCTCTTCTCGTGAAACTTGTCCTCCCCCTACGCCCCGCGCAAATCTCTGGTGATGAGAAAAGTAAGGCTTGCAGGAAGCTGCTCCGGATGTTTGCTGCTTTATATGTGGCGTTTGTGGCTGGCTCTGATAACGTCCCGTCCCGAGCTCGGCTTCCAAACTGCGTTTAGTAAAGAGGCCGAAATAGAAGAGTCCACACACCGCGGACCGGTCAGCGCCGCCGCCCCCCTCCGTACTCTGTCCTCCGCCCCCCAAACTTATCACAAGAGAAGGCTCGTAAGAAATTAGATCTAGGTAACTATGTAAAAGGGACGAGTCTTGGAGAGGCACCACAGTCCCTTTCTGGTTCCTTTGTTAAGTATAAACTGCTACCTTATGATTGCCAGGGAGGGTGTTATACGAAAAGGGGGGAGGGGCGCCCACATCTGAAGGTCCTGCTCGGACCCACGGGTGTGTAAGTCCTCTTACCTGATTTTTCAGTAAGCTTACCTGACGGAGCTCAGTAGCTAGTCTCCAGGAACAAGGGCAAATAATAACGGGGATGTTTCCTTTCCCATCAGTTCCTCGACCTTCTTGGCTCCCAAGTGCACCTCTGTCTTTTGTAATAGGTTGGGCAGGGAAGAAAGAACACGAGAATACAACGTAAATCCGTGTCAGCACGGCTTTCTAGACCTGGATTGTATTTCCTGTACTCTATTATTTTTTAAAGAATTAGTCAAACATTGATCTAGACAGGTAAAATGGATTATGGAACGGGCATTGTTTTGTCTATTTTTCAATGTTTAAGAAAACTCCTTAGTTCACAAATGATTTTGCATTATGAGAAAATTCTGCTTTGAAATCTTTGAAAAGATATTTATTACTGTTCAAACAAGTTAGAAAAGATCACCAAGAAAACAGCAAAAAGCAAAGCACTACGGGATTAATTTATCTTATTACTTTCTCTACTCTTACATACAATTGTTTCCTCATACAATCATTTTCAATGCATGTTGATTTTTGAGCCCATTTTTTCAAAAAAAAAAAAGCTTTAAAGGAAAAGTACATCAGTTAAATTTGTTTATTATCGGGTTCAAAACTACCAGTTAAAAATAACGGCCCACTATGATTTCTTTGGGAAGATGTAATGTTTTCTTCTTGTCTGAACCTCAGAGCCCTGGAAACTAGGACCACTAATTTACCTTGTTCCCATACAGAGGCTGGCTCCTAAGGTGAGGGAGGGCAGCCAGCAGAGTCAGGGAAGAGCTGGCTTAAAACAATTGTGTAAGAGTTCTTTGGACAAAGAGCAATGCCAGAGAAACGGAAGGCCAGCAGTTTGGAAAATCTCTGTGTTCTTATGGATGCCACTGATAAGCCAGATTTGATAGATGACTTCATGGTAATGATTATCACACAGAACGTGGCAGCTTTTTACCTTTCAGATCTCAGGTGCAAAGTTTACTTTTTCATCACAAAGAAAATCTTTTCTGAAGGTTGATGTATTGATTCCTTTGGCAAAATTATCTTAATAATGCAGGAATGGCTGTTGGCCGCCTTGGAAAACTCTCTAAATACACTAACAAATACACAAACAAGGTAGCCTGTCTTAGCAATTAAGAGCTCCAAGTCTGAAAGTGGACTGCTCAGTGTGAATTCCACCCTGCCAAATCTGTGGTCAAAGGCAAGTTCTTTAACCTCTCTGACCCTCAGTTTCCTCTTCTATAAGGTATAATGGTGTCTACCTCATAACCCAGTTTGCCAGTGTTTGGAGGGTCCTACGGAGATCAAGCGGCATACTGTGCCTATGAGGGCTTGTTTTAAAATCCCCCCAGAAAAGATTTTTTTCCAGATCCAAACACTAATTTAGTAGTCATTCAGATTTTCATTCTAATCTAAAGAAATGCATAGAAATCCCCTAATTATCTGCCAGGATAACTATCTTAAACTGATACCAAGAGCTACAGTTATTTTGTTGCCCAAAAGTTTTGCTCTCTGCCGCTGGACAGACTTGGGCTTTTAGACCAACATTGCTGTTGTGTTTACATTTCGGAAATAAAAACTGTCTTGCCTTTTTAAAAACTGAAAGTTTTTGTTATGAGAAAGTTTTGTTATGTTTATCCAATTATATATTTCATGTACAAATTTTCAAGCGTAAAGTGTTAGTGTATCCTGAGTAAATGCATTAAGTTCTTCAGAGTGATGTAATTTTGTACCCAGAACACCACTCCGTATTTCATCTCGTTTTACAAGATAAGACTGTACCTTGGACATAGCATTTTGAATATAATACAAAAAGGTGAGTTCTTGGGGAGAGATTGTATTTTTAAATTTATTATCAACAGTGACTTCAGCGTTTAAAAAAATACATTTAAAGGCACCCGAGCGGTTCCCTGGAAGCCAAGTCCCTCACCATTGAAATAAGCTTGGCTCCTATATAAAGACGAGTTTTAAGAGTAGACTGGATGCTGCATGTCAGTCTGAAGTACCGAAGGCAAGTACCTTGCTCCCATGGCACAGTCAGCACCCCCAGAAGGTTTTTCAGGAGTCTCCCCACCCAGGTCGAAGAGGACCAGGCGCCAGAGCCTGGCTCCAGCCAGTTTTCCCGAGGGCAGGTGCAGTTCTGGACGCGGGCCGGGGGAGGGGAAAGGGGAGGGCGTGGGGTTGAACTGGGACTTGGGACTCGGGACTCGGACCACCGGCTGGGCGTGGGCCTAACGTCGCGGGCCCGGACCGCCCCTGCAGTTCCATTGGCCACATCAGTGCAGAAAAGGCCCCGCGGCCCGGGGGCATCCGCAGTGTCTCTGGGCTAGTCGAGGCTTCTTACTACGCTGTAGGCTGAAACACGCGGAGAAAGCAGGCGGCGGGTTCCGGCCGAGAGGCCCGCACAGTCCTTGGGGCATCTGCCCGCCTCGCTCCCCGCCTCCTCCCCCCGGTCGGGGGAGGCGGCGTGTCCGGCCGAGGATTGCGGGGCAGGGCTGGAGAGCCATGAGCAGCCCGGATGCGGGATACGCCAGTGACGACCAGAGTCAGACCCAGAGCGCGCTGCCCGCCGTGATGGCTGGGCTGGGCCCCTGCCCCTGGGCCGAGTCGCTGAGTCCCCTTGGGGACATGAAGGTGAAGGGCGAGGCGGCAGCGAGCAGCGGAACGCCGGCCGGGGCGGCGGGCCGAGCCAAGGGCGAGTCTCGCATCCGGCGGCCGATGAACGCGTTCATGGTGTGGGCTAAGGACGAACGCAAGCGGCTGGCGCAGCAGAACCCAGATCTGCATAACGCCGAGCTCAGCAAGATGTTGGGTGAGTCCGAGCCAGGTACCCTGGAGGCCAGACCCGCTAGTACGAACCGCTGAGCCGCTTCCTTGAACCTAGAAGGGTGTTTCTCTGCGGGCATTGAGCCTGAGACTAGGAGTGGGCTGTCCGGCTTCCCGCTCTCTGACTCTCCAATCGGTGCCTAGAGTCCGCGGGTGGCCGGGGCGCGGGTACCATGGCTCTGGGAAGGCGGCTTCCAGGCACGTCTGGGCGGCGGCGGGAGCACCCCTGCCTCTGAGCCTTTTTGGCGGTGTCGGGGTCCCCTGTTCATTACCTGGGTAGTGTCGTTTTTAATTTTCTGAACGACCGGGAAGAGAGAAGTTGGAAGTTGCTTCCCGTAGAGTAGAAGGAAGGGGTTCTCTTAGCTTACGCGTCTTCCTCAAGTGCTCGGACGTGGGGGGCCAGACCCCCCTCTTCCGCTCTTATAACTTGACCTGGTTCCTCCTGTTGCAAAATTCAAGGTCAGAGGGGGCAGAGAGGCCAGGTGGGATCTGGAGCGGGATGCAGCTGGTAAGCCCTGCGCCCCTCTCCACCTCCCTGCGTCCTTGCAGGCAAGTCGTGGAAGGCGCTGACGCTGGCCGAGAAGCGGCCCTTCGTGGAGGAGGCCGAGCGGCTCCGAGTGCAGCACATGCAGGACCACCCCAATTACAAGTACCGGCCGCGGCGGCGCAAGCAGGTGAAACGGCTGAAGCGGGTGGAGGGCGGCTTCCTGCACGGCCTCGCCGAGCCACAGGCGGCTGCCCTGGGCCCCGAGGGCGGCCGGGTGGCCATGGACGGCCTGGGCCTGCCCTTCCCCGACCAGGGCTTCCCCGCGGGCCCGCCGCTGCTGCCTCCGCACATGGGCGGCCACTACCGCGACTGCCAGGGCCTGGGCGCGCCCCAGCTCGACGGGTACCCGCTGCCCACACCCGACACGTCCCCGCTGGACGGCGTGGAGCCCGACCCGGCCTTCTTTGCTCCGTTGTCCGGGGATTGCCCGGCGGCCGGCAGCTACAGCTACGCGCAGGTCTCGGACTATGCGGGGCCACCGGAGCCTCCTTCCGGCCCCATGCATCCACGGCTCGGCCCGGAGCCTGCGGGCTCCGCAATGTCGGGCCTCCTGGCGCCCCCCAGCGCCCTGCACATGTACTACGGTGCGATGGCTTCGCCGGGGGCGGGCGGCGGGCGCGGCTTCCAGATGCAGCACCAGCACCAGCACCAGCATCCGCACCAGCAGCACCCGCCGGGGCCCGGGCAGCCGTCACCCCCTCCTGAGGCACTGCCCTGCCGAGACAGCGCGGACCCCAGCCAGCCCACGGAGCTCCTGGGGGAGATGGATCGCACGGAATTTGAACAGTATCTGCACTTTGTGTGCAAACCTGAGATGGGTCTCCCCTACCAGGGACACGACTCCAGTGTGAATCTCCCGGACGGCCACGGGGCCATCTCCTCGGTGGTGTCCGATGCCAGCTCTGCGGTATATTACTGCAGCTATCCTGACGTGTGACAGGTCCCCATCTGCCCGTCTGTAGGCCAGAAGCAGTGTTACACACTTCCTGAAGGGGCTAAGGAAATCCTCAGCTTCTTGTTTTGTTTTGTTTTTTAAGTTGCCTTGGCAAATAATTTATGGTAATTTATTTTGTCTGCCACTTGAATAGTTGGGGGCGTGGGGTTTTGTTTAAAATTTGTTCCCCATAGGTTTGCATTGTCAAAACCCCATTTCTAAGTTCAAGTCAACCAGTTTGGAATGTCTCAAAACACCTTGCTCCATTTCCTGAAAATTTATTGATCATAGAAATTTTGTTCTGGGTTTTTTTTTTTTTCTTAATCTACTTAAAAAATAAAATCTGGAATCTTGGCTTTTTCACTGTACTAGTGAATCCTGCTTCTTCACTTTGTCACTCTAGTCTTATCAAAACCAGTTTTTAAGATCAATGTTAAGTATTGATACAATTAGAAATATGTAGTAATGGCAGATTTCTCATCTTATAATAGTAGACATAAACGGCTTGAAGGAGAAGCCCTAAAAATAAACATTAGGATATCTAAGTTTGATGTAATAGTTCTTACCCTGGGAAAAATGATGCCCTGGTTACATTTCAAGGAATCCGTTTTTAAAATTTAATGGTTAATCTTATTTTCAATTCTAGTTTATCCCATTAGCCAGATTGGATTGAGTAAGTAATTTAGGCATTCTAAATTAATCACAACATTGAGACCTCCCTAAAAAGGCTTTCTGGATTTTTTTTTCTTATCTGTGTGATACTGAGTCTTTACACTCTTAACGTTTGTACTCTCTGGACATTGAACATGCCTATAATTCTTACATTTTTACATGTTGGGAAGGTGGTGTTGCTTTGTTAAAAATAATGTGAAGAAGTCACAGAAACTGATCAAAATTTGCATTATGACTTTTAAGGACCCTTAGTAGCTCATTTCAATAGTTTTTTTTCCTTTTAATTTACCTTCATGGATGATTGTTCTTCTGGACATCTAAGTTCTTACATTTTGTAGAGGAGCTGCAGGTGGTTTGTGTGTAGCGTGCTTTATAAATTCAGCTGTAGCTGCAGCTTTAGGGTTAGCCCACCACTGTCATTTCCTTACTGTTAAGAAACTGGAGTTCACTAAGCAGAGGACGGAGATCAGCCACTGCAATCTGTGGTGCTAAGTGCCGTGGTGCTTCTCAGTACTTTTTACAAACTGAGACGTAACTGGAAACAGATAACTTGCAATGGGTATTTCCTGTGCCAGAGTTTATTCAATGCCCTTCTGAACAGTCTGAGGCTGGAGAAGCCGACAAGTTCCCGTGCTCTTCTCTCCATTTTGTAACTGAGCAAAGCTCATCTGACCTGTGGGCTTCCTTTCTACTACAAGACGTTACAACACACCTCCTCACTGTTTCCCTTTGTGCCAGGATGTACCCACGGGCACTGGGAGAAGGTGCATTCTGGTGGTGAGAAACTACAGTTCTCCATATAGTAAGTGCTTTAGAGAAAGTGAGTTGAAAATTAGTTTTGAGCATTTATAGGGGAGAGATAATTGAGCAATTTGGTTGGTTTCTCTTGAAAAATGGCAGGGTGTTTGTTTTTAGAAGAGATTCCTGGATGCTAGGAATGTGAGGGATAGGTTTCAGTGAGCAAAGGTGGTAAGTCTTTTCTGGTAGGGGTAACATTCTGCCTTCAAAAATGTAAAATTATTAATGTTAACCCCAGGATTATCATCTAATTCAGTTTATTTCTAGTGGCCTACTTTTTCTTCATTCTTTCTTCATCTGACCCCAATAGGTTTCTCCTTTCAGCCTGAATTTCTTCCCCCAGGATGTTCCAAGCGTTCCCAGTAAATAAAAGTGAGCAGGGGAGACTCACCTGCCCAGGGCCAAGGCCATGCTGCCCATCCAGATTACACTAGACTCAGCTGTACCCTTGGCTGCTATCTCTTAACAATATTAAACAGGAAGAAGATGAAGGGAAGGGAGAAAAGAAAGCGCTTTAGGGGAAGGATCCAAAGTCCTAAGAAGTTATATTAACTATTCACCAGGTACAAGTGGTAAAGTAATAGAAGCTGAAATTGTTAGGGTAATTTCATTGCTTTCACACAGATGGAGGGTCATTATTCTTCACAAATAATTCTCTCGGGCAGTTGCGGGATTAGGACCATGAAGCCCATCAGGTGAAATGACCACAGTTACTAGCTACTGACCATTTTCTCCCATTTTAAACATTCCATTTTTTCCACTGTTTTACTTTGGAAGCAAATACCTGCAGGATACATTGTTCCTCCCATCTCTTTTCCTGTCTACTTTAGAAAAATGTCAGGAGGCCTAGCACAGTGGCTCATGTTTGGGAGGCTGAGGCAGGGAGGATGGTTTGAGGGTCAGGAGTTTGAGACCAACCTGGGCAAGAATGAGACCCCATCTTCACAAAAAACAGAAAAAAATAGCTTGCTGTGGTGGGGGGGGTGCCTGTATGCTCACATACTTGGGAAGTGGAAGCAGGAGAATCACTCGAGCTCAAAAGTTTGAAGTTGCAGTGAACTATGATGATACCCCTACACTCTAGCCCAGTGACAAAGTGAGACTCTGTCTAAAAAAAAAAAAAAAAAAGTCAGGAGGTAAGAATTCTAAGCAGCTCTTGTTGAGTTCTAAGCACCTTAGATGTCTTACTTGTTTGAATTTAACTCAAGGTGTTAGTCTGAGGAAATGAAGAAATCCCTTCCCAGGAACACGCACACATGCACACACGCTTAATATTTTAGGTATAATTTCAGGCAATTTGTGACCACTTCTAGCTGCCCAAGGGTTGTAGGGATCTAAAGCCCTCTGAGTTAGAAGCCCTGAGGAAGAAGGTTTATTGGGAAGGATGGAACCCAAGCATCAAAAGAAAAAGGCAGTTTCTCTATATTTAAAAACACAAAGGAACATTTCTTTTTTTTTTTTTTTTT